TAAAAAAAAAATAAAAGAGATAAAGGTCTTATATCCGCTGGTTCACTCCCCAAATGTATGCAACGACCAGAGCCAGGAGCTTCTTCTGGGTCTCTTGTGTGGATGCAGCGGCCCGAGTAATTAGACCATCTTCCACTGCTTTCTGTTAGTAGAGAGCTGGATCAGAAGAGGAGCCACCAGGACACACCCTATGGGATGCCAGCTCCATAGGCAGAGGCTTAACCTAATCTCTTACAGTGCCAGCCCCTAATGTGATTTCTTAAACACAGTGATGCCATGTGAAATACTTGATTTTTAAATTTTGGAACATATCCTGGGTTTCAGTTACAGGGTAGTAGAATAAAGATAGCATTCTTTTAGCTTTTGAGTAATTAGAGCTGGTTTGGGAAACATTCTGATTTTAGTTGCATTGAATATAATGGTATTTGTATATATGTTTATAGGCAAATACAAGTATGAAACTGGAGGAGCAAATAATACTAGAGGAGAAGTATTTGCTGAAGTTATAAAAAGTAATAATATTTGATGAGGCATTGAGATATAATGTAAAGACTTTTATCCTTGGAGTAGGAAGATACTTAATCATTAAATGTTTAGCTGAGTGTGTTGGTTAAGCGAAAGAAGTTAAAGTAGCACTAAATCAATTGTTACTAATTCCTTTGTGTGTGTGTTTCTTTGCCTTTTCTAGCCATTATAGGTTATTGTGTACTGTAATCCCTATTTTTCCATTCCTACTTGCTTCATCTTTTAAATAAACAATTAAGTTTTCATTGTATTTCTAAGTCAGAGAGGTCTTCCACCCACTGGTTTATTCCACAAATGCCTGCAATAGCCTGACTGAGCCTCGTAAAGCCAAGAGCCTGGAACTTATCTGGGTCTCTTATTGGGTGGCAGGGACTCATGTACTTGACTCATTGCCCGCTATCCTCCAGAATTTGCATTAGCAGGAACCTGTATCAGAAGTGGAGTAGCTGGGACTTTAATCAGGAACTCTGCTATGGGATGCAGGTGTCCCAAGCGGCAACTTAAGGTGGTGCACAAAATGCCTGCCCCCTTTGTCCCATCTTTGAAGCAAGCTCTATTATTTCTCTCCAACCATTTGTCCTCTGACACTCTTCTGTTCTCCTCTCTTAAGGACCTTTGTAATTACCTTGGGACCACCTAAGTAATCTAGGAGTATCTCTCCATTTTGAAGTCCTTAATTATGTGTGCATACTGCTTCTTGCCACGGAAATATATTTACACATTCAAGGGATTAAAATGTTGACATCATTGAGTGCCAACATTGTGCCTAATGTAGAAGTACTCTTGCTATGAGAGTATCATCAATTCTGCTGTTACAAAGTGATTACATGTAACTTTGCATCCACATCACATGTACTAAGGTTGAATAGCTGCACCAATCCAGAGGACACCATTGCATTTCAGCTTACTTGGACCATTAGCCAAACTCTCCCCATTTAGGGGGAGCTCTGAATCAGGATCTGCATTTAGAAAGCAACTTTACATCATGTAGTGAAGTAGATACCTGTCATTTGTGAATTAAAGCTGAGGTGCTTCAGGAGCCACACCAGTTGGGTTCCTGAATATACCATTTCCATTTGACAAGTGAGGATTTTGGGGTCCTTGTCACATCCTTGAGTCTGACTAGCATTGTGTCTTGGCCTGGAGAGTCAACAGGCCTCCATGGGTCTGGAATTCTGTTTCAACAATAGCAAGGTAATAGTTGATTTTCAAAAAGAGTACATGGGATATCCTGTGCTGGACACAGTAAATCCAAAACCCCAATGAGTTCCTGTAGGTGTAAACTTTTTGCCAAACGATTCTTTGACAAAATCTTTTTTCATAGAAACTTGTAGCTTTTAAAGGTAAAATGTATTGCATACAACTTGTTGCATGGTATCAAGCACAGCCAATTGTCTTGATCTTCTCAAAGGATTCATATTTGCAGGATAGGTAAAAGTACTCAGTAGAATGTTGAAGTCAGCCACATGTAGCCTTTGCTAATTGAAGAATTGAATAATGTGCTAAGTTTCTTCTTTGAATGTGAAAGCCTGAAGTGACCATGGTTTTTTCTTCCCTGGGAGAGGAATCTGGCTTTGTGAATCTAGTCCTGTAGTTTCCAGAAACTTGTGGTTCAGGTATTTGAATTCCATCTGCACTTTCTTTTGTTTTCTTCTTCTTCTTCTTTTTTTTTGGGGGGGGGGGCAACTCTTGGCAGAAGTGTGATAATATCACAGTCAGATCTTTTGAGACTAAGACTTGTGACTTACCAATAGTTGTGAAAAGTTTGGAAAATTGGAGGCAGTAGTCCTCCATTCTGAAATACTTACCTATTTGTGGCAAATGGTAGGGGAGTTTAGGTCTTTCTGGGGAAGCACTTCGAACATGTGAACTGATCTTGATCTTTGGGTGTTAGTGGTATAGCAAGCAGGTGTTGGAAATGTCAGTGACAACCTAAAAAGTATCAGCAGTCTGTGTAATGGATTTAGTCTGTAACTGAACTCGGTTGTAATTCACTGTAGGTCTGCAGCTCCTGCTAGCTGGCCTGGCATGGATTTTCTTGTGAGGTACTACATCTTCTCACTGTCCGTACCAACTTTAACCTTTTTTAAAAAAAATTATTTATTTATTTTAAAGAGCTACACAGAGAGAGAAGGAAAGGCAGAGAGAGGTCTTCATCTGCTGGTTCATTCCCAAATTGGCTACAATGGCTGGAACTGTGCCGATCCAAAGCTGGGAGCCAGAAACTTCTTCTGGGTCTCCCTCATGGGTATATGGGCCTCAGGACTTGTTACCTGGTTGACTGTACAATTTTTCACCTGTTTGCTACTCCTTTCCATAGCTTACTTCGAAACCCATTGTTTGCTCTAGGAGGCCCCCCCCCCCCTTTTTTTTTCCCGGAAAAATATGTCTATTAGCATCACAACCTCATTGTGAACGACGTGTGAAAGAGATTTCTAATTTTATCCTATTTGTAAAATACGTAGTTTAGGAGCCAGAACTTAAGGACATAAATAATGAGACTAGAATATTGCTGTTTACATGGAGATTACTAATGACACCTCCCCTCCCACTCTATTTTCCCTTTGCCTTGTACTAGTCTCAACCCCCAAAATTGTTGGTGTTACACACTCTATAATAGAATTTTTGAGGATTTTTTTTTTCCAGTTTCATTTTGTGGACTTAGATGTTTAAGTATACCTTCTGTTGCTCATTTATTAGATGAGATTATTCAGAAACACAAGTTATCTTTATACATGATTATCTTTTTTTTTTTTTTTTAATTTATTGAAAGGTAGAGTTGCTGAGACAGAGATCTCCCATCTGCTGGTTTACTCCCCAAATGGCCACAACAGCCAGGGTTAGGCCAGGCTGAAGCCAGGAGCGTGGAACTATATCTGAGTCTCCCATGTGGGTAGCAGGGGCCCAAGCAGTTGAGCCATCATCTGCTACTTTCCCAGGCACTTTAACTGGGCTGTGAAGCAGAAGAAGAGCAGCTGGGCCTCAAACCAGTGCCCATATGGAATGCCAGCATTGTAGGAGGTGGCTTTGCCTGCTAAATCAATGCCTGCCCCCATTTTGAATTTTTGAGGGTACATTTGTCCTCTTACTATCTCTTAACATTTTAATGTTGCCTATCTCTTAACACTTTAATGTATCAGTTGTAACTTTTTTAGTCTTAAAATTAAAGATATAGTTCTTTACACCATGTTTCCAATATTAGAATATTCTGAAATTTTTAGTCTGTAGTTATTCTTACAGCGAATTTTCTGGATTCTGCTATTTTCTTATTAGCATTAATTTATTTATTATTTATTTTATTTATTTTGACAGGCAGAGTTAGACAGTGAGAGAGATAGAAAGGTCTTCCTTCTGTTGGTTCAACACCACCCCCACCCCCCCAAATGGCTGCTGTGGCCGGCGTGCTGCATTGATCCGAAGCCAGGAGCCAAGTGCCTCCTCCTGGTCTCCCATGCGGGTGCAGGGCCCAAGCACTTGGGCCATCCTCCACTGCCTTCCCAGGCCACAGCAGAGAGCTGGCCTGTGTGATTCATTCACTCTGATTCTCTAATCCATGTTCTTTGAAGCCAGGGCAGGGATGCTACAGACCCTGTATTCTTTGAGAGTTTTCTTATGATCAAAGCAAAATGATGTGCTGTATCTCTCATCTGGCTTCTTTTTCCTCCCCCGACCCTGAAACCTTTTATTTAAGCTATAAAAACTTATAAATGCGACTTTGGTACATAGTGATTATTGCCACCCTACCCGTTCTCCCACCTGCGCTGCTACTCTTCTTCCTCCTCTCTCTCCTATTCCCATTCTTACTTTTTACTAAGATCTATTTTCACTTAACTTTATACACATAAGATTAACTCTTTACTAAGTAAAGATTTCAACAAATAGTATGAAAAAAAAACTGCTTCTCAACAGTTGAGACAAGGACTGTTTTTTTTTAACCACTGTACAGTATTACATGTTGTGTGTATCCCATAATTTCTTTATCCAGTCTTCAGTTGATGGACATTTGGGTTGATTCCGTACCTTAGCTGTTGTGAATTGAGCTATATCAACTAGCTTCTTTAGCCATTGGGTGGGAGATACCTCCTTTCCCCAACTCTACCTTTCAAATAAATCAAAATTTAATTAAGAAAATCCAGCATAAACTTTGCTTTTAAAAAAGTGTCTATGACATGGGACAAGAAATAGTGTATATTTTGCCAAATATAAATTTCAAAGATAACTGTGGACTTTAGTTGTTTATTGTTACTCTTTTAGATTGATCATGAATAAGGGAGCAGAAGTCATGTAAAAATGACTTACATGACTATTACTTGTTTATATATAAAATGACACCATGATCAGTGCAATACTTTTTATAAAGATTTTGAGATGAGTATTTGTAAATTTTTAAAATTAGTAAATACTTGCAAAAGAATATCTTTTTGGATATATATGGATTATGATTTAAATTTAATTTTGCTTCTATTTATTTTTAGAAATATAAAGAAAAGGACAAACACAAACAGAAACATAAAAAGCAACCAGAACCATCACCTGCACTAGTTCCATCCTTGACTGTTACTACAGAAAAAGTAAGTTTTAAGTGTCATGTTTTGCTTATATAAGAGCTATTTATGTTTCGTTTTTTAACCCTAAGGTGTGAGATGTGTTGTCATTTCCAGTGTCCAGATCCTAATTTTTCTCGCCTCTTTAACTGTTCATGAAACACTTAGGATTCTTCTTCTTCTTCTTCTTCTTTTTAAGATTTATTCATTTATTTGAAAGTCAGAGTTACACACAGAGAGAAGGAGAGGCAGAGAGAGAGAGAGAGGTCTTCCATCTGATGGATCACTCCCCAATTGTCCACAACGGCTGGAGCTGCACTGATCTGAAGCCAGGAGCCAGGAGTTTCTTCAGGGTCTCCCACGTGGGTGCAGAGGCCCAAGGGCTTGGGCCATCTTCTATTGCTTTCCCAGGTCATAGCAGAGAGCTGGGTTTGAAGTGGAGGAGCTGGGACACAATCCGGTGCCCATATGCGATGCCGGCACTGCAGGTGGTGGCTTTACCTGCTACACCACAACGCCAGCCCCTTAGGCTTCTTCTCCCTTTATCATACATTATGTTTCCTCCATACTTGTCTCCAAAGACTGCTTAGTTAGATTAGTAAGTGGACAGCATCATTGAGTTTAAGAATTTGGGCTGTGGGGTGGACTTTATCCACCTGGATTTTCAAATCTGGCTTTACCATTTATTGTTTCAGTGGTTAGGTTAACAATTAACTTATTAAAATGGGGGACATGAGTAGTGAAATTGAATGCGTTAATACATGCAAAGCAATTAGAATGGTTTTCATTCATAACAGGTCTTACTTGGTTTTGTTAGTTATTACTAGGATTTCATCATGTGGTTAATATGAAAATGAATGGAGGAATAGAAAAGTGGCTGTGACAGAGTAAGCAAGTAGAGAAATGGCAGTAGAAAATGAGGCCATGGTTAGAAGCTAGTGATGCTGGCTTCCAAATGTCACTCTAAACGTTTTTTTTTTTTTTTTTTTTTTTTTTTTTTTTTTTTTTTCTTTTTCTTTGCAAATGTGTTAATTTAGGGACTGAGCATTATGGTGCAGTAGATTAAGCTGCCACCAGCGATGTAGTTTCCTATATCTGAGTGCTGTTTCAAGTAACACGGGTCTTTCTGATCCAGCTCCTTGCTCTTGTGCCTGGGAAAGCAATGGAAAGTGACAGATTATGTATCTGAGTCCCTGCCATCCAGATGCTTGACTCAGATGGATATCCAGGCTCCTGGCTTTATCCTGGTCCAACCCTGGCCATTGTGACCATGTGGGGAATAAACCAGCAGATGGATGATTCTCTCTGTATCTTTCACTTTACCTTTCAAATAAATATTTGAGGGGCAGAGATGCAAAGAGAGGGTGACTACAAGACAGAGAGTGTGCTTTCATATGTTGATTCACCCCATGTGCTTGGAGTGGCTGTGAGTAGGCCAGGCCCAGTTATTTGAAATATCACTGCTATGCTGCTATGTCCCAGGATCTGCATTAGCAGGAAGCAACCCAGGCACTACCATGGGGGATATCTTAAATAGTGCCTTTTTTTTTTTTTTTTTTAAATTTTTATTTGACAGAGTTAGTGAGAAAGAGAGAAAGGTCTTTCTTCCGTTGGTTCACCCTCCCAAATGGCTGCTATGGCTGGAGCTGCCCCAATCCAAAGCCAAGAGCCACATGCTTCTTCCCAGTCTCCCATGCAGGTGTAGGGGTCCAAGCACTTGGGCCATCCTCCACTCACTGCCTTCCCGGGCCACAGCAGAGAGCTGGACTGGAAGAGCAGCAACTGGGACAGGAACCCAGCGCCCATATCAGGTGCCGGCACCGCAGGCAGAGGATTAACCAAGTGAGCCATGGTGCTGGCCCCCTTAAATAGTGTCTTAATGGTTAGGTCAAATTGCTACTCTAAAACTTCATCTTTTTGAGTAAAAAATGGGCTGTTATAGGGTTCTGAACTGAAATGTAACATGGTCTAAGTTGAATATTGAAAGCAACTCTAGCTGCTTCATTGTGTATAGACTGTAGGCAGGCAATAGGGGAAGTATATAAATCATTATGAGGTTATTGCAATAATCCAGAGACAGATGTAACAGTGCATGCAGTAACAGCTGAGAAGGTGCTGAATACATTTAAAGGTAGAGTCCATGTGACCTTCTTATAGATTATAGCTGTAAGAGAAAGAGAAGATCTCAAGTTGATTCTACGAGTTTTGGTCAAGACCAGGCGAAGCAATGGAGTGACTGTTAACAAAGATTGGGAAGACTTTGGATATAATAGGTTGTTCTTTTCTTTTTAGGTCTCATGTGATTATATTGTGCCTACCAGAAAATCCAGGATCATTTCTCTGCTTTAACATTCACAAGCTTACTTACATCTGTAAATCCATGTAACAAGGGATTAGGATGTGTACATTTTGAGGGGCGAGGATGCTTAGTACAGATGCATTAGGATTAAGGTTTCTGGTAAATATCCAATTAAAGATGTTGGTTAGCAGATACATCCTCTGGTATTGTGAAAAGAGATCCAACTTCAATATAAATTCAAGTGTTCTATATATAGGAAATTATTTAAAGCCACAACACTGGATTGAGAGGAGATAGTCCAGGAAGAGAAAAGAGGAGGCCTTCAAGGCCCAGGCCTCCTACATTGAAAAATCTGGAAGAAGAAGGGTAAACAGGGGCTGGCATTGTGGCATAGTGGGTTAAACTGCTACCTGTGATGCCAGCAGCCTATATTTGTGCGGGTTTGAATCCTGGGTGCTCCACTTCTGCTCTCGCTTCCTGCCAGTGAACTTGGAATAGTGGGAGAGGATGGCCTAAGTTTTTGGGCCCCTGAACCCACGTGGGAGGCACTGGGAGAAGCTGGTCCAGCCCTGGCTGTTAGTGGCCATTTGGTTAGTAAACCAGTGAATGGAAGATCTCTCCATGCCTCTCCCTCTCTCTCTCTTTGTAACTGCCTTTCACAAAAAAATAATGTGTAACTATCTGAGAAGAAGCCAGAGTTTGGTATAAAAAACCAAGAGGATATGTTACATTGGAAATCAAGTTAAAGAAATGAAATAAGTGAATAATGTCATATAATAACATGGGAGCAAGTATTGGGATAAATCACGATGAGATCACTAGGGACCTTGATGAGCAATTCTGTTGTACTGTTGGATGCAAAATCCTGATTCAAGTGGATTTAAGAGAGAATGGGAGGACTCGGCGCTGTGTCCTAGCACATACAGCTGTGCAGTGTTCACATCCCATATTGCACCAGGTCGAGTTGCAGCTGCTCCGCTTCTGATCTGGTTCTCTGTTATTGGCCTGGGAAAGCAGTAGAAGATGGCCCAAGTCCTTATGCTCTTGTAACTGTGTGGGAGACCTGAAAGAAGCTCCTGGCTCCTGACTTTGGATCGGCCCACTTCTGGCCATTCTGGCCACTGGGGAATGAACCTGCAAATGGAAGACCCTTCTCTCTGTCTCTGCCTCTCTGTAACTCTGCCTTTCAAATAAATAAGTTAATTAGAAAAAAAAGAAAATGGGGTAAGTCAGAATGTAAATGATTGCTTTGAGGAGCTTTGCTATAAGGAGGAGCAGAAAAATAGGTGATGACTTGTTGGAGAAATCATCTTGTTGGAGATGATAAAGGGCACTTTTTTTTTTTTTTTTTTTAAACAGGCAGAGTGGACAGTGAGAGAGAGAGTGCCATTGGTTCACCCTCCAATGGCTGCCACGGCCAGCGCACTGCGCTGATCCGAAGGCAGGAGCCAGGTGCTTCTCCTGGTCTCCCATGCCAGTGCAGGGCCGAAGCATTTGGGCCATCCTCTGCTGCACTCCCGGGCCACAGCAGAGAGCTGGCCTGGAAGAGGGGCAACCGGGACAGAATCCGGCGTCCTGATCAGGACTAGAACCTGGTGTGCTGGCGCCACAGGCAGAGGATTAGCCTATTGAGCTGTGGCGCTGGCTGAAGGGCACTTTTTTTTTTTCCTGCCGCCTTGTTTCTGCTTGGCCCAGCCATGGCCATTGTGGCCAATTGGGAGTGAACCAGTAGATGTGAGCCCTCTCACTGTCTCTCTTTCTCTTTATTGTTTTTTTGTTTGTTTGTTTGTTTTTGTTTTTTACTTTTTTTCTTTCTCTTTATTGTTAATAGACTGAATAAACATAAAGGTTTGAAATAATTAGCCATAGAAATGGGAAAGAGGAGCCAGTGTTGTGTTCCCATTCAACAGAATACAGGTTTGAGTGCCAGCTTCCACGCTTCCAATTCAGCTTCCTGCTAATGGCCTTGGGAAGGCAGCGGAAGATGGTGTGAGTATTTGGGCCCCTTCCACACATGTGGGAGAGCAGGATGCAGTTCCTGGTTCGTGGCTTTGGCATGGTGCAGCCCCAGCTGATGCAGCCATTTGGGGAGTGAACCAGCAGATGGAAGATCTGTCTCTCCCTCCCTCCTTCCATCCTGACCTTCCTGCACCCTCCTATCTATTTGCCTTCCAAAAAATAAATAAATAAAACCTTTAGCAGTGGAAAAGAAGATTTACTAAGGAAATGTATTATGATTGCTGGGTAGCCATAAGGTTCCATGACCATTCTTGTCTGCCTTTATGGTTGTGGGGACAGAGTAGGATTTGGTAAAATTATTATTTTGTTATATGAATACAGTGAGTGATTTGAAGGTGAATACAGGGTAAGTTGCAATCATGGATCATGATAATGAGGACAATGAAGAATGAGGGATAATCAATAATGGTTAATGGTTCCTGTTGAATTTAGAGGTTTGTTTGAGGAATGGAGAGTGTATTGGAAATAAGATGCGATAGGGATTAGGATATGAGTTGAAGATTATAGAGCGGCTACAATTAGTTACAGTGTCTTTTAAGATATGATCTAGAGTGTTACGGGGCTGATGTGGGGCAGAAGACAAGCTCGTGAAATGGAGAGATCAGAGGCTGTTAAAGCTAGATGCATATTGAAGTCTCTAAGTAAGGGGGGAATAGTATTGGAGGTTGACAGTTGTGTAGGTGTTAAGATGTCAAGGGCTCAATACTAA